AGGTTTCTATCAGGGTACACACACCGGCGCCGCAAGTCGGTGGCTGTCGGCAGGGCCCAGTCATCACTCAGGACGCAGTTCATTTCTCAGCCGCGCCACAGAGCGCCATCTGATTAGTTTCATGTTAAATATCATGCGAATGTGCGCGTCTGGTGTGCGATACTTTAAACCATGTGTGCACCGTGTCGCAGCGGCGAGCGGCGCTTCTGGTGTGCGACCTGCTTTAGTCTCTATTTCAGGGGTCGCCACAGCCAAATGAACCACAAACTATTATGCAGTAAAGGCATTCTGGCTGCAACACAGTATTGGGAAACACCCATACACACTCATTTACACTTATACACTACGACAAACTTAACTAATACTAGTTTATTCAATTCACCTGTACCGCATGTCTTTAGACTGTGGGGTAAACCGGAGCACCCAGAAGAAACCCACACCAACACGGGGAGAACATGCAACCTCCACACAGAAATGACAACTGACCCAGCCGTGACTTGAACCAGCAACCTTCTTGCTGTGAGGCGACAGTGCTAACCTCTAAGCCACAGTGCCGCCCTTTTATTATTATGTTAATATTAATATATAAGCACAATTGCAACCTGTTTTTCCATTGATTAGATGTCATGAAAATTCTCCTTTTTAGGCAATGTGGCAGGCAAAAGTCAGAGAATTTGAGATTTGGTTTAAAGATTTTTATTTCACTTAGAAGTTGTAATCTGTACAAGACAGCGGATGTACTTGAAATCCAGCCCCAAATGAATATAAAACACAGTCTTGTTTATTTATTTATTTCCAAGGTTAATCTGGACTCGTACACCAGAGAGCACATCAAGGAGAACATGGAGAACATCTGCGCAGACTGCTTCGACTTGGCGCAGAGCCGGATTTTCGGACTCATGGAAAGAGACTCGTACCCTCGCTTCCTCCGCTCTGACATTTACATGGAGTTAACCAATCAAAAGAGACCCGGCTCCGCTGCGGACCCGTCCTAAAGCTGAAGAGACGCCCAAACACATCAGTATTGCTGGAGACACAGGTTTAGTAGAACGGAACATGTCTGCGTTCACATCATCCAATGTATTGAACCGTCAGTCGGCCTAGCACCTTGGAGAGCTCAGCCCCGCTGAATCATGGGAAGGACTGATTGTTTTTGGATGCTTCTGTGCTGCACCCTGTTGGACAGCATTGATATGGCGATGAATGTGGTTTGAACATGCTGGAAGTGTTGTGCTCATGGTGTGGGAGCATATGGAAGATAAGAACGCATGCTGGGTATTGAGCGAACAAAAAAAGAAATGAGAGACTTTTGGTACAGTTTTATTTAGCTCTATTAGGAGACAACTTTCACTTTTCTTTTCCTTTCCTGCACAGACCTCAACATACTCCTCTTTCCCCAGTAATACATCAGTGAGGACCTGAGTATTTCCCAGCAGGCACATGGATGTCAAAATGACTTCATAAAAACGTCAATAATTCTAATCGATTTGATGTCTAGACTTTAACGTCTATTTGACATCTACATATTGATGCCATTTTGACCACTAAACTATTACAATCTAAAAAACGTTTAATTCATCTAAAATATTCAATTGCAAATTACAAATTTACAGTGGATTTTGAATCTCTACAATGTAAATTATACCTACAGTAGATGTTAAAACGACATCAAATTGACATCTAAAATTGGTGTCAAAAAATGTCATAAATCGATTTCAGGGCAGTTTTTAGAGTTTATTTTAGTTTAGTTTCGAAACAGCAAAAAATTGATTACAAGACTCTCCTGTAATACATTTTTGACATCTGTAAGATTTAATTGCAAATACCAAATTTACACCAGATATTGTGACTCTACAATGCATGATGTCAAAACTACATCAAATTGACATCTAACATTGGTGTCAAAAAATATAAAAAATCGATTTTAGGGCAGTTTTTTATGTCATTTTGAAACTTATACATTATAAGACTGTCCTGTAATAATTTTTTAGATTAATTTTTGACATCTGAAATATTCAATTGCAAATTACAAATTTACAGTGGATTTTGAATCTCTACAATGTAAATTATACCTAGATGTTAAAACGACATCAAATTGACATCTAAAATTGGTGTCAAAAAACGTCATTAATCGATTTCAGGGCCGTTTTTAAAGTTTATTTTATTTATTTATTTTTTTGTTGTTTCGAAACAGCAAAAAATTGATTACAAGACTCTCCTGTAATAAATTTTTGACATCTGTAAGATTTAATTGCAAATACCAAATTTACACCAGATTTTGTAACTCTACAATGCATGATGTCAAAACGACTTCAAATTGACGTCTAACATTGGTGTCAAAAAATATAAAAAATCGATTTCAGGGCAGTTTTTTTATTTCATTTTGAAACTTATATTTACATTATAAGACTGTCCTGTAATAATTTTTGTAGATGAGTTTTCGACATCTGAAAGATTCAATTGCAAATTACAAACGTACACTGGATTTTGTATGCCTACAATGCATGTAATTTAGGTGTCCAAATGACATCAAATTACCATGTTGATGTTTTTTGATGTTGTTTCGAAACGCGTCAAAAACTGATTACAAGACTGTTCTGTAATAATTTTTTTATATGAAGCTACCTAGAAATCAAAACAAAATCAAATTGAGATCTAACATTGGTGTCAAAAAATATAAAAATCGATTTCAGGGAAGGTTTTTCTATGTTTTTTGATGTCATTTGAAACGCGTCAAAAAATCATACAAGACTGTCCTGTAATCTTTTTTTTTTTAATTTTTGATATCTGAAAGATTCAATTGAAATTACAAATTTACATTGGATTCTGTATTCCTACAATGCATGTAAATTATACCTAGATGTTAAAATGACATCAAATTTACATCTAAAATTGGTGTCAAAAAAACATCATAAATGGATTTCAGGGCAGTTTTTTTTTTTTTGACATTTTTTCTTAATTTAATTTCAAAACGTCAAAAAACTGATTACAAGACTGTCCTATAATACATTTTTGAGAAAAATGTTTTCACTAGATGTCAAAATGAGTTCAAATTAACATCTAACATTGGTGAGAAAAAAACAGCAAAAATTGATTTCTGAGATTTTTATTTTTTTGGAAGTATGGAACACGGCAAAACATTGATTATAAGACTTAGATTTTGTATCCTTACAATGCATGTAAATTATACCTAGATGTTAAAACAGCATCAAAACGACATCTAAAATTGGTGTCAAAAAACAAATCGATTTCAGGGCAGTTTTTTGACATTTTTTTTACTGTCCTGTAATCAATTTCATGTTAATTTCATTTCATATTAATTACCCAAATGTTAAAACAACTTCAAATTGACATCTAAAATTGGTGTTAAAAAACGTCATAAATCGATTTCAGGCGTTTTTTTATTATGTCGTTTTGAAACATGTCAAATTGATTACAAGACTGCCCTGTAATATTTGACATGAATTTTTGACATCTAAAAGATTCAATTGCAAACTACAAATGTACACTGGTTTGTGTATCCCTGCAATGCATTTAAATTACTTGTCAAAATGACATCAAATTGACATCTAATATTGGTGTCAAAAAACATCGATTTCAATCGAAATCGAAAAATCGATTTCAGGGCAGTTTATGATGTGTTTTTTAATGTAGTTTAGAAACACGTCAAAACAAGTGATTACAAGACTGTCCTGTCATAAATTTTTGAGATAGGTAGTCAATTGACATCAAACCTGTATGCATTTTTGACTGTTTTTAATGTCCTTTTGACATCAAAATGCCTGCTGGGTAGGTTTTTTTTTTTATCTAAGCTGCAGTTTGAAAATGTTTATATTGTCTACAGCTGAAACTCTTCACAGTCAGAACACTAATTCTTACTTTTAAGGGCTTTGGTAACATTTCCATGTCATTTTAATGGCACTGTGACTTTAATAAAGTGCAATATACAGTTAGTTATTCTAAATAATATATCTTTAACAAAACAGCATATTAAAGGGGTCAGATTTTATATATACACACATATACATATTGTACAAATTCTCTCTATGATCAAATTTGAGTCTAGTATGGTAGTTCATATGAAAGAAAATATAATTTTGTTGTAAATAACGGAGATATACTGACTAACAGTTATAGTGATGGTTATTCTGTTTGGTGTTATTAGATGTCAAAGAAAATCAGAATAATATGACTGAAAGACAGCTGAATTTGTGTTTGATATTTGCCTAACATAGAGGAGTGTGTGTTGTACATAGACGTATGTGTTATGTGTTGATTTAGCATTATTTGGCTGACTGGGAGACTCAAGTTTGGCAAATGCAGTGTCGGTTTCCTCCTGCCTTCATCCTAACAATAGAGCTTTCCTTCTATAGTAATAATGATTTCCTGTATTTATTTGTGGGTTCATATTTCACTCACTGCTGCCTTTATGTAACATATTCTCATCAAATAAAACTCAATTCAAGCATATTGTGAACTGGATGTTTTATACAGTATTTGGGAAGTGTACTTATTTTAGAATTTAGATTTTTGTAGTATTGTTTTTGGTTTTGAATGTTATAAAATGTCTTGTGCACAGCTCCTAAAAATCCCCAGAGGGCAGCAAAGCTCCACAGTAAGTAAGTATTAGCACTATTTGGGGTTCACGGATTAATTTAAGTTTTTATATAAAGTTAAAGAGATTTTCTTTATGTAAATTAAAACATTTATGTTAAAGAACAATTTCACAAAAATAAAATAAAACTTCAAAGAACGTTCTGTAAAATTTGCAGGTCAAAATATGGTTGAAATAATGTTGCATTACCATTCAGTGTAACAGGTATATACACTGTGCGGCCACTTTATTAGGTACACCTTACTAGCACCGGGTTGGACCCCTTTTTGCCTACAGAACTTCCTTAATCCTTTTGTAGCATAAATTCAACAAGGTACTGTAAATATTCCTCAGATTTCAGCCCATATTGACATGATAGCGTCACACAGTTGCTGCACATCCATGATGCGAATCTCCTGCTCCACCACATCCTAAAGGTGCTCTATTGGATTGAGATCTGGTGACTCTGGAGTTCATTTGAGTACAGTGAACTCATTGTCATGTTCAGGAAACCAGTCTGAGATGACGCTTTATGACATGGTGCATTATCCTGCTGGAAGAAGCCATCAGAAGATGGGTACACTGTGGTCTTAAAGGGATGGACATGGTCAGTAACTATACTCAGGTAGGCTGTGGCGTTGACACTATGCTCAATTGGTACAAATGGACCCAAAGTGTGCCAGGAAAATATCCCCCACACCATTACACCACCACCACCAGCCTGAACCATTGAAAAAAGGCAAGATGGATTCTTGCTTTCATGTTCTTGATGCCAAATTCTGACCCTACCATCCGAATGTTGCAGCAGAAATCGAGACTCATTAGACCAGGCAACATTTTTTCAATGTTCTATTGTGCAATTTTGGTGAGCCTGTGCGAAAATGTACTCTCTGTTTCTTGTTCTTAGCTGACAGGAGTGGCAGCCGGTGTGGTCTTCTGCTGCTGTAGCCTATCTGCCTCAAGGTTCGATATGTTGTGCATTTAGAGACGCTCTTCTGCATGCCTCGATTGTAACGAGTGGTTATTTGAGTTACTGTTGCCTTTCAGCTGGAACCAGTCTGGCCATTCTCCTCTGACCTCTGGCATCAACAAGGCATTTGCGCCCACAGAACTGCCGCTCACTGGATATTTTCTCTTTTTCAGACCACTCTCTGTCAACCCTAGAGATGGGTGTGCGTGAAAATCCCAGTAGATCAGCAGTTTCTGAAATAATCAGACCATATAGAACAAAAATGTATATAATAATTAAACAGCCTTTTTTCTCAGTGATCACACTAAATTAAATCTTAAATGATTTTAGAAGACGTCTTCTCTAAATCATAATAAAAATCAGTGATAATTACTATTTTGCTCAGAAATTGATAAGATGGAAACTGGACACATTCTAATGCAGGGCAAATAATATCAATTAAAGGGCACCTATGGTAAAAAAAATCTACTTTTCAAGCTGTTTGGACAGATCTGTGTGTTGGTATAGTGTATAGACCGTCATACTGGGGTGATATGAACACACACAGTCCTTTTTTTTTCAATTTAACTACAAAAAAAGGGTCGACCAATTGGAGCTGTTTTCAAATCGATCACACCATTACGTAGGTGTGCGATCCCCCCGCCCACCGAATTGATTGACAGCTGCGCGCAATAACATGTTCCGGTAGTCGCGTGTATATGTCAACAAGACCAGGCAGACATACGCAAAGCAACCGGGAATAAAAGGTGATTAAGAGTAAGTTTCACATGTTTAAAGTGTTTTAAAACAGAGTATGTGTGTAATTAATTACAGCGTTTTACTTCAGCTTTACTTCATCAGCACAGCCGCGTGTCAGAACAATTATAAAAGAAGACGCTTCAATCCCGGTTTGTGGAAGTTAAATCAGGTTTATTTTGTACATTAGCATAACAGATATCCACACAGTACTTGAGGTTAGCCTTAACTAAGCTAAGCGCGCTCTGTCTGTCTGCCTGCCTGCGTGCGTGTGTGTGTCATATGCGGTGTGCGCGCGTGCGTGTGTGCGTGTGTGTGTGTGTGTGTGTGTGTGTGCGCGTTAACTTTGTAACGATATTGTGTGTGACTCATCAATGCAACTTCACAATACTGATTAGTAAAGGTTAGTTCTTACTGCAGTATCTCACAAACGCTACGTGAGACCTTCTTCCTTTAAGTCTGTCTGTTGTCTGACGCAGCTGAGGGAGGAGGCATGTAGAAATAGTGGGCGGGAAAGACTCGTCTTAAAGGCGCAGTACGACAAAACCACCCCCTGCTGGAAATCAGTATAAAACAGCATCTTGTAAAAGGTATAATGAAAAATCTGATGGGTATTTTGATCTGAAACTTTATATACACATTCTAGAGACGCAAAAGACTTATATTAAATCTGAAAAAAGGGGTAACCTATGTGCCCTTTAAAGCTTCATTGTTTTGATGCATGAAAACCTCTTGAAATCTTTATATACAACTCTTGTACTCTTAACTGAGTAACTCCTTGCAATTAGACATGAAAATATAATCAAGAAGAGCATTCTGATCATTTTCTGAGTCGATATGTTTAGGAACTATAGTGCTATTTGCAACTTTTCATTTTCTGTCAGTCTTAGTACCTACCTACATTCTTTAATGTCAAGCTTTAAATAGGAAAATTATCTGAACTGTGTTAAAATTTTGGATGAAATGCTAATGGTATAATCTGATTCAATGCTAAGCTAAGCTAAAAGTGCTCCCGCGAGACTCAAATATCAGCTGAATGGATTCAAAAAATGGTGTAAATCAACTGTATATAACTTGTTTTTTTACAAAAAAACGTGCTGCTTTATCTTTGGCATGATGTCTATTAACGGAAATGGAACAAAGTATTTTGATTTCTGTCTTGTATACAAACATTAACTTAACACTTTAGAAATATTTTATTTAGAAATTAAACCGATGGATTCCACTTGTTGATTCCATCTTGTGGTCAGGCAGTGCATTATGGGTATTCTCTAGTCATTGAATGCATCGGTTGCACACCCATTGTCAGGGGCGGACTGGCCATCTGGCAATCCTGGCAAATGCCAGAAGGGCCGCACCATTTTTTAAATGTGGGCCGGTCAGCTATTTTTTTTTTATATATTTATTTTTCATTTGTATTGTTTTTTTTACATGTAGACAGCTTTTATCTTTTGCAAGATGTGAATATTATGATGATGATGATGATGATAATAGCAAGAATATTAATAAATGTTAAGCATTGGCCCAATCGGCAACAACCGGCTGATTTCGATATGGGCCAACCCAATGAGAGGTTACGCAGATGTAATCAAAATCTGGCAAGAATGTCAAACACACAGTAAGTGCAACAAATTGTCAGAGATGGACCATAAAAAGGGAAAGGCAGTCAAGTCAGACAATGCCAAATACATAAAATTAACTGAACTAGTCTCGAAAGGGGGCAGTGCAGTGGCGCAGTGGGTAGCGCTGTCTCCTCACAGCAATAAGGTCGCTGGTTTGAGCCTCAGCTGGTTCAGTTGGTGTTTCTGTGTGGAGTTTGCATGTTCGTGTGGGTTTCCTTCTGGTTTCCAATTGAATTGGGTAGGCCGATTGGGAGTTGGGTAACCCTGTAATGGGTTGCAGCTTTGAGGGCATCCGCTGTGTAAAACATATGCTGGATAAATTGGCGGTTCCCAGATTAATAAAGGGACTAAGCCAAAAAGAAAATGAATGACATGATTGCATATATAAATTAGATGTTTTTGTTCCAGTCACATAAATTAAATGTTTAAATATCTCTTAAATATGTTACTACTTTTATAATTTTACCATCTGTACACCAATATAAGTAGTGAATGTGCATGTCCGTGGGTGGGGCAGTGTCAGTGTGGTAATGTAGACTGGTGTGGCTACAGTGCCAGGGCTGAATTTTAGTCCCAGTCCGCCCCTGCCCATTGTGGAACTGATTGGATCTAACATCTCTTTTCGAGTCCACTTGAGTCTACTTCCTAGTCTACTTGAGTATAGAGAATGAAAATCAGCATCATAACGAGTTGGGTTCAGACACTTTTGTGGACAAGCGCAGGAGCGCACAATGTAAACCAATGCAAATCACAACAGAAAAAGCCGGCCATTTTATAGTAATATAATTTTGAAAAATGTCTTAAAAACACTCCGAATAAAATGGACTAACATGTCGATACCATTATAATTGTATAATTGTGATAATTTTCTCTTTTAATTGTAGAGCGAGCGCTTACAGATTATTGCTGCTGATGAGTGTAAATGTGATACAATAAATTAATAGATTAATGGGAATCGGGCTCCCAATTCCAGGGTCGTTGCATCCATAGAGGTGACCTGCAACCGTTTACTTTCGTTCTCACTTTCCGGTTGAGGACGGCGGGATTGTCGTTTGCCTAGAGCACTAGCTCAGATTGCTCCGGCCCTGCCCATGTCCTAAATACCCTGAATGCATTGTGTTGGTACTGCACATTACAATTCTCTATTGATGCTTGTTATGTATATTGCATAACTTCTTCAACAAGCATTTTCATTTGATTTGACGTAATTTCATTGGCTCTGCAGGTGTCTTTGGCCTTTTCCAATGTGAGTTCAGCCTCTCGCAACAGCCTTGCGCGAACATTGTCATCTTTTATCCCGCATACAATTCTATCCCTTATTAGCGAGTCAGTCAAATCAACGAATTCACACTCTTTCGCCTTGTGTTTAAGATCCATGACGTATGAATCAATTGTCTCTCCGGTACTTTGTGTTCTCGTTAAAAACATGTGACGAATATATGGCAGATTCTTTCTTGGCTCACAGTACTCTTTAAAGGGCACCTAGGTTACCCCTTTTTTCAGATTTAATATAAGTCTTTTGCGTCTCTAGAATGTGTATATAAAGT